CTCTTCCTCACCTTCTCTCCCTCTCCTTCTCCTCCTCCTCTTCTCTCCTTCTCCTCCTCTCCTTCGTCTCCCCATCTTCTCTCCTCCTCTCCTCCTCCTCCTCCCCTCCCTCGTCTCCTCCTCTTCTCTCCTCTTCTCAGTCTTTCTCCTCTCCTCCTTTCTTTCCTTCTCCTCTCCCTCTTCTCCTCATTCTCTCACCCTTCTTCTCCTCTCCTCCTCTCACTCCTCTTCCTCTCAATCTCACTCTCTTCATCCCCTCTCCCTTCTCCTCTCCTCCTACTCTCCCTCTTCTCCACCTCAGTCTTACTCCCCCTCTCCTCCTCCTCTCTCTCTTCTCCCTCTCTCTTTTCTCCTTCTCCTCTTGCCTCTCCTCCTCTCCCTCTGCTCATCCTCTATTCCTCCTCTCCACCTTCTTCTCACAACCTCCCCTCTTCTTCTTCTCCTCTCTTCCTCTTCTTCTCTCCTCCTCCTCTCTTTCTCTTCTCCCCCTTCTCTCCTCCTCCCCTCATTCCTCCTCCTCTCCCTCTCCTCCTCCTCCTCTCATCTTTCCTCTTCTCACTCCTCTTCCTCTCCTCCTTCTCCTCATCCCCTCTCCCTTCTCCTCTCCTCTTACTCTCCCTCTTATCCTCCTCCTCTCTCTCTGCTCATCCTCTGTTCCTCCTCTCCACCTTCTTCTCACCTCCTCCCTCTTCTTCTTCTCCTCTCCTCCTCTTCTTCTCTCTCTTCCTCCTCTCTTTCCTCCTCCTCTCACTCTTCTCCTCCTCCTCCTCTCACCTTTCCTCCTCTCACTCCTCTTCCTCTCAATCTCACTCCTCTCCTCTTCCTCTCCTCCTTCCCTCATCCCCTCTCCCTTCTCCTCTCCTCCTACTCTCCCTCTTCTCCACCTCAGTCTTACTCCTCTTCCTCTCCTCCTCCTCATCAACTCTCTCCTCTCCCTTCTCCTCTCCTCCTCCTCTCTCTCTTCTCCCTCTCTCTTTTCTCCTCCTCTTGCCTCTCCTCCTCTCCCTCTGCTCATCCTCTATTCCTCCTCTCCACCTTCTTCTCACCTCCTTCTTCTTCTCCTCTCCTCTCTTCTTCTTCTCTCTTCCTCCTCTCTTTCCTCCTCCTCTCACTCTTCTCCTCCTCCTCCTCTCTCTTCCTCCTCTCACTCCTCTTCCTCTCAATCTCACTCCTCTCCTCTTCCTCTCCTCCTTCTCCTCATCAACTCTCTCCTCTCCTTCTCCTCTCCACCTCAGCCTCATTCCCACTCTCCTCCTCCTCTCTCTTCTCCCTCTCCTCCCTCTCCTTCTCTTCTCACTCCTCCTCGTCCTCTATTCCTTTCTCTTTCCTCCTCCTCTCCCCTCAGTCTTCTCTTTCTCTCCTCCTCTTCCTCCTCTCACTAACAGACTAACGCACTAACAGACTGAACTGTCCTTGTGTCTCAGTGTGGATCCTGGTGCAGGTTTTGGGCCTTTTTGTGATGGTGAGACTTTCTCTCTGCTCTGCTCGGGCCTGAAAACCACAAACCCCCAGAGAGTCTGAACGCTGCATGGACTTAACCCTTAAAACTCTGCTCCAACTCAACACAAGAAAAAAGAAATAAATAAATAAACTAATAATTAAATCAAATCTTCACCGCGTAACTTTTTTTGTTTGGAGGCGACACTACCTGCTTCTGTCCGTGGAAATGTTAAATAAAGCCTTTTCTGAGATTTTGATGGAGTAAGAAAGTTTTCAGAAATATCTTTGTGCATATTTTCTGTAGTTGAGCATAAAATAAATATTCGTAAACTCTCGAATGAGTCCAGTCGTACGTAAAATGTGTTGTGTGTATTGGTTTTAAGTCCTGGTTTAGTCCTGGTTTAGTCCTTTTTCAGTCCTCCTTGTACAGTCCTGTTTTAGTCCTGGTTTAGTCCTAGTTTAGTCCTCCTGATTCTGTCCTGGGATAAGTCCTGTTTTAGTCTTAGTTCAGTCCTGGTTTAGTTCTGGTTCAGTCCTGTTTTAATCCTAATTCAGTCCTGGGATCTGTCCTGGTTTAGACCTGGTTTATTACTGGTTTAGTCCTAGTTCAGTCCTGGTTCAGTCCTGGTTTAGTCCTGGTTTAGTCCTGGTTTAGTCCTGTTTTAGTCCTAGTTCAGTCCTGAGTTTAGTCCTGGTTTAGTCCTAGTTCAGTCCTAGTTCAGTCCTGGTTTAGTCCTGGTTTAGACCTAGTTCAGTCCTGGTTTAGTCCTGGTTTAGTCCTGGTTTATTACTGGTTTAGACCTAGTTCAGTCCTGGTTTAGTCCTGGTTTAGACCTAGTTCAGTCCTGGTTTAGTCCTGGTTTAGACCTAGTTCTGTCCTGGTTTAGTCCTGGTTTAGACCTAGTTCAGTCCTAGTTCAGTCCTAGTTCAGTCCTGGTTTAGTCCTGGTTTATTACTGGTTTAGACCTAGTTCAGTCCTAGTTCAGTCCTGGTTTAGACCTAGTTCAGTCCTAGTTCAGTCCTGGTTTAGTCCTGTTTTAGTCCTAGTTCAGTCCTGGTTTAGTCCTGGTTTAGACCTAGTTCAGTCCTGGTTTAGTCCTGGTTTAGACCTAGTTCAGTCCTGGTTTAGTCCTGGTTTAGTCCTGGTTCAGTCTGTATGCGGCTCAAATGTCTGGCATCTTGATCAGTGTTTTGTAAACTTTCATTTCGTGATTTTAATTCTTGACATCGTGACTTTTCAATTCATATTCTGGCGAATAAAATACACACAACACGACTGGACTCGAGAGTTTACAAATATTTATTTTATGCTCAACTACAGACAAATATACACAGATTTCCAACTGCACATGAATATTTCTGAAAGCTTTCTTACTCTATAAATGTTCCACAGCATGGCATTAAACATTTATCAATTTAGCACTTCTTATTGCACAAAAATACATTGAAAAACATAAATTCTTACTGTAGAGAAAGAGATTACAGTCACATTTCCACAGATCTGAGCTGTAACTTGGTCAGGTGGTGCCACACTGTGACACATTCCAGGCAAAGCAGTAATATCTCCATGGAAACAAAATCCGTGTATCATTCGTTCATTCATTATTCAAAATAAAACCAAAAATAAGAAAATGAAAAAACAACAATTTTCTTTATTATTTGTCTCCAAAACCAAAATGGAAAAACAGAAAATGATTAGTTTTTTCAGTTTTCGATTTTGTGTTTAAATGAAAAATGGAAAAATGGATAATGTTCGTTTCTCTTTTCTGTGACTTAAAGTGTGATGCCGGAATGAACCAGGACTGAACCAGGACTGAACCAGGACTGAACCAGGACTAAACCAGGACTGAACCAGGACTGAACCAGGACCGAACCAGGACTGAACCAGGACTGAACCAGGACCGAACCAGGACCGAACCAGGACTGAACCAGGACTGAAACCAGGACCGAACCAGGACTAAACCAGGACTGAACCAGGACTGAACCAGGACTGAACCAGGACTAAACCAGGACTGAACCAGGACTGAACCAGGACCGAACCAGGACTGAACCAGGACTGAACCAGGACCGAACCAGGACCGAACCAGGACTGAACCAGGACTGAACCAGGACTGAACCAGGACCGAACCAGGACTGAACCAGGACTGAACCAGGACTAAACCAGGACTAAAACCAGGACTGAGTGTTAGGACGGGCCTTGAGGTGCGCCTGTGTAGACTATCGGATGATCAGGATTGAGACCAAGACCAGACCAGAACTGAGACCAGGACCAGAACGGGACCAGACTGGGACCGGGACTGAGACTGGGACTGAGGCTGGGACCAGACTAGAACTGAGACCAGGACTGAACCAGGACTGAACCAGGACTGAACCAGGACTAAACCAGGACTGAACCAGGACTAAAGCAGGTCTAAACCAGAACTGAACCAGGACTAAACCAGATCTAAACCAGGACTAAATCAGAATTAAACTGGTCTCAGTCCCTGTTTTAGTCCCAGTCTCAGTCCCGGTCTCAGTCCTGGTTTGGTCCTGATCTCAATCCCGGTCTCAGTCCCGATCTCAATCCCGGTCTCAGTCCCGGTTTGGTCCTGATCTCAATCCCGGTCTCAGTCCCGATCTCAATCCCAGTCTCAGTCCCGGTCTCAGTCCCGGTCTCAGTCCCCGTCTCAGTCCCCGTCTCAGTCCCCGTCTCAGTCCCCATCTGAGCCTGATATGGACCTGGTCTCAGTCCCGGTCTCAATCCCGGTCTCAGTCCTCGTCTGGACCTGGTCCTGGTCTGGTCCCGGTCTCAGTCCCAGTCTGGTCCTGCTCTGATCCAGATCCTGGTTCAGTCCGGCAACGAGGTTTAAGTCACAGAAAAGGGAAAAGGGATGTTATCAGTTTTTTTTCCATTTTTCATTTAAACACAAAATCGAAAACTGAAAAAATGAATCATCTGTTTTTTCATTTTGGTTTTGGAGACAAATAATGAAGAAAATATATATATATATATTTTCATTTTCTTATTTTTGGTTTTATTTTATTATATAAAACAAATGAACGGTTGATACATGGATTAAAGAAGCAGCTCTATATCTTTAGCAGAAAAGTTACGCAGTGCACTTTTAAATTATATTATACTTTTTCTGTGGTCTCAGGTGCACAGTAATACAATTAAATATTTTGGAAATCATTCACATTTTTAAGTTGCTTTCAAATAAACGTCAAACCCAAAATGTATGTCGCCATTAATTCCTAAATACTACACTTTATTTTAATAAGAAAATAGCACAGACCCTAATTATCCAACTTATTTAAATACATTAATGTGTACTTGTAAAATGATTTTAAGCAGATTTTAAGGGTTAACTGAGACTGGAAAATTGCCTGATTCTGACTTTTTGCATGTTTTTAACACATAAACTAATCCTGCACTTTTGACTTTTTATTTTGTAAGTTATATTTGCATTTACAGGAAGAGGAGAATGCATCCTTTAGAGTATTATTTTGAGTATTTTAAATGTTTTCATCAAATTGTATGTTCATGTTTGTGTTTTTTTTTCTTTCTTTCTGTGTTTTAGCCCCATTGAGTCGTGCCACATCTTCTACCAAGACTTCACTCTCCAGATCGACATGGCCTTCAACGTGTTTTTTCTGCTCTACTTCGGGCTCAGGGTGAGTTTGTACGCGCTCGCCGGGGTTTACTTAAGTGAGCGAAGTACTTAAGTAACAATAATATTACTTCAGAATAATATTACTCAAGTAGAAGTACAAAGTAGAGGTCCAAGAAACTGGGAAAAGTACTATTGAAGTATCTAGGGGTGTAACGATATCCAAGTCTCATGATACGATATCCCCACGGTACGATATTTATTGTGATATCGTGGGAAATCTCACGATACGGTGGGGAGTCTCACGATATTACCATGTTATACACCTAATAACAAGAGCGACATTATAAAATGCTTTGACCATCATTTGGTGTAACATTTATTGTCATGTTCACATCAGTGACATTTTGAACAGTTTGAAAAGACTTTGAAGTTGAAGTGCAAAATTCAAGCAACAACTACCGTATTTTCCGGGCTATTAGACGCGTTCTTAAGCCTCCAACCACATCGAAAAACGACCGCGCGACCCACAATCGCCCTGTACAGGAATCCACTCAGGTGTCTCATTATGACTTCAGTAAACTACAAAGCCGCACCACCCGCAGAACACGCAAACACACACGGAGCAGACAGCGACCGCACACCGAAACACACCCACAGACACACTCATCACTCCACGCCGACGAGGAACGGAACGGAGGAACGAACCGAAAAAGCGAGCGCGACGTGCCACTTCTAGACACGACTGAACAACTGAGTCACTGCGAACACGCCGACAATCCAGCGATCCCAGACACACCCTCCCTACACGCCACAACTGAACAAAGCCCAGAGTCACCGTGAACGAACAAACAAACAAAACCACTCACCCATCACACTGTTGTGTTTCCTTTAAAGTCCAGTGAGGTTTATTTGTGAAAAAAGTTTGAATATTTAATGACAGTGCGCTTTATAATCCAGAGCACCTAATAGCCCGGAAAATACTGTATAACAATGTTTAAGCACGACTTTGGTTAACTATGAAGCCGCAGCACATGATGGATTGTCGGAGCATTACGACGACCATAGTCACGAGCCTAACGGAGTTAATCTGACAGAAGATGATCAGCATCAGCGCACAAGGAGCGAGCTGATTTTTTCAGACGTTATGTAAATTAGCCATGTGGCTTTAAGTTTCGTTTCTGTAAAATGTAAACAAATGTGCGCAAAGCTGTGTTAAACACTTTATTACTCAATGTATATTTAAGTCCTCCTCGTGGGAAAATTAAAAAAAAAACTTTAATGTGATGGTATTTTATATTTCAGCTCCAGTTTAGCCACTGACCTTTTTAAACCCAACACGTCCACTGTGGAAACTGGGTACAAATCACTCGCTTTATATTCTACAATGTATTTCATTATTTCTTGAGCTGTTCTGAGGCAGCGCTGTCTAAATGCTTCACGTATAGTTTTTTGTGCTGACTTGATTTTCTGAACACGTTCTTGAAAGTTTTCAACATGTCGTCTTATCAAGGTCCTTCTCATGTTGTAGTATTTCCCGAGGTTGAACCGCTCGGTGTATTTTGTCTCTGCACACTGACTGTTCTTCGTCCGTCACCTTTTCTCCTTTCTCATTTCGTGTCACGACAAACCCAAAATGCTTTTAGACCTCAGACTTAAAAGCCACTGGTGTGTCCACGACAGGCCCACAGGCCGATGACACAATCGCAAAGGATTATGGTCCATGTAGTTTACTTTGCTCTGCACCACAGGAGCGACTGAAAATTCTTATTTTTGCCTAAAGACACAAAGTTTAATACCGTGACGAGACCACGATGATATCATGATATCACCAATATCGTTACACCCCTACAAGTAACAGTAACGTAAAGGCGCATTGCGTAACTTTTCTGGTGGAGGGTCCATCACCTGGTTGTTTCTATGGAAATGTCATTGCTCTGCTTAGAATGTTCCACATTGTGACATTAAACACCTCTATCTTACATTTATTACATTTTATAGGTTTTATAGCTCAAAACTGTCCATAAAAACAGACATTCTGACTGTGAGTGAAGTCGCCTCTCCACAGGTCTGACCTGTACCTTGGTCTCGTTTTAAGTTTTAAAGCCATACTGTGAAACATTCCAAACAAAGCAATACCATCTTCATGTATTAAAATGCCGGTTTAAAGATACAGTATGTAACTTCCCTGGTGGACGGTGCATCAACTAAAGATTTCGCGACCCCCCTGTTGAAAACCTCTGGCCTAGAACATCTCCATGGTGACAAGAAAGTGTCAGACTCCCATCGGAAAAGTTACATAGTGCACTTTTACAGCTACCATCAACAGAATGTTTGTTTGTAAAGGTCTAAAGTACAAGGTCAGCAGAATAAAACCCCGTAGAGACAAAGGGACATTTAATTCTCTATAAAAATCGATTCAAAACCTCAACAATAAACATCCTCTGTGATTCAAAGAGCACTTCCTCTTCAGTTTTGCGTACATCCTGATCCTAATCTAAAGTCACATTGTACTCACCTGTTCTAATCGTGTGTGAGTGCATTAGGGCTGCAGACTCGCCGTGATTGGACGCTGAGGTGCTTATGTCCCTTACATCCACTCTGAAGGTCAATTGGTTCGGGAAGATTATGTTTAATGGAAAATGAAAGGAAATTAACCACACAAGCCAAATATAAAAACATGCAAGATCTGCTGACAGTATTCTACAATGTTGTTACCTCCTCAAAAACACCTGAAAAGTGATATTACATCTTATATTTACATCTTTAAATGGACTTAATACCTATTGTTTTATGTTTTGTTTTGTATTAACGTCTCTCTTTTCTTTTCTTTTCTTTTCTTTTCTGTCTCCAGTTCATCGCGGCCAATGACAAACTGTGGTTCTGGCTGGAGGTGAACTCGGTGGTGGACTTCTTCACGGTTCCTCCCGTCTTCGTGTCGGTGTATCTGAACAGGAGCTGGCTCGGTAAGGATCTAAAAACCCATTAGACATTAAAGACAGAGACATTAAACTAGAGAGAAGGGTACTGTTTACCTCACAAGGTCTGTAAAGTGGATTTTTCATCAGACAACTTAGTTTGGAAGCCTGATTCATCAGCCGGTTTCACTTTGTGGAAACCGTCTGACCTCGCAGTGTTAGGATTCGTTCACTCGACAGTAGGCAGGAACATTTTTTATTTAACCAATCGCTGCTATTTGGTCGTGACGTATGTAATACACCAAATCCCGTAGGAATAAGTGCAATATAATATGATATAATATAATATAGGCGGGTACTTTTTTTTATTTAACCAATCCAATCCATTTCTGTAGCACATTTAGCAAACAAACAGTTTCCAAAGTGCTGCACAAATACATAATAATAACAACAATAATAAAATGATAAAATAAACTACTAAAATAATCATACTAGTCTTAAAATAAAATAAAAAATAAAATAAGAGCAAAATCATAGACTAGCAATAAATAAATAAAACCAATAAAAATCGCTGCTATTTGGTCGTGACGTATGTAATGCACCAAATCCCGTAGGAAGAAGGGCAATAACGTCTTTCCCTTTGATCAAATTCACAACATTCTCTTTGTTCCGGCTTTAAATCCTCGATCGTTGCCAACACAGAATGTCTGTCTTCGTCTACATCCATCTCGACGCTTTGTTTACTGTTGTGCTGTTCCACAAAAGGGACCCAGACAGACGCTTGAGTTTGACGTCATGGCTTCACAGCTCTTCACTGATTGGCCGGTGCGAGGCCTACAACTTCTGGGGTTCATGCAAACCATTGAGTGCAGGCATGTCCAAACTCTGGGCCGTGGGCCAAATGCGGCCCTCAGACAAATACTTGTTTGGCCCTCGTGCTTCCAGGCGAATTGGCCCAAATGACCTTGCATCAATTAAAACATTTTTACGGCAAAATCTACCTTGATAAAGTTCATATTTAATATTTAGTGTGTGATTTTGAGGATCTTAGCGTGAATAAAGACTGATGGCTCATTCTAATGTCTTAAACATGCAAATATTTCAATTATTCGCTGTACTGAGCTCCAGTCTACGGCCCTTGATCAGCCCTCTGCTTCGTCTGTGTTTAGATATGTGGCCCTTGATGAAAAAAGTTTGGACACCCCTGGTCTAGTGTATTCTGATTCCTGACCTAGTCGCTGGAGAGAAATGAAATTGGCTATAAACAGTGTTGGGAAGGTGACAGATTACATTCACCAAAATGTAATTTGTAACAGAATCCATTAAATTACTTTAAAGTGAGTAATGTAATCTGAATACTTTGGATTACTTGATTTGCTGTAGAGAAGCAAAGACTAGGAAACTGTAACATAAGATGTTTTGTTTGTTAAAAGAAAATAAAAAACCCAGACTTTACTGAACCAGATTAAAAATATTATTGAGAGAAGAGAAGGAGACAGTGTTGCCGCAGCATGGTTTAATCCTGTTAAATCCTGGTTTAGACCTGGTTTAGTCCCAGTTTAGTCCCAGTTTAGACCTTGTTTTAGTTCTGCTTTAGTCCTGGTTTAAACCTGGTTTGGACCTGGTTTAGACCTGGTTTTAGTCCTGGTTTAGTCCTGGTTTAGATCTGGTTTAGTCCTAGTTTAGACCTTGCTTTAGTTCTGTTTTAGTCCTGGTTTAGACTTGGTTTGGACCTGGTTTAGACCTGGTTTGGACCTGGTTTAGACCTGGTTTAGACCTGGTTTTAGTCCTGGTTTAGTCCTAGTTTAGTCCCAGTTTAGACCTTGTTTTAGTTCTGCTTTAGTCCTGGTTTAAACCTGGTTTGGACCTGGTTTAGACCTGGTTTTAGTCCTGGTTTAGTCCTGGTTTAGATCTGGTTTAGTCCTGGTTTAGACCTGGTTTGGACCTGGTTTAGTGTCCGGCAATGAGTGGAATTACCAGGAAAAAAAAAAAAAAGGGATATAGCCCGAAATGTGAAAACAGGAAAGTACCACCATGTAATCCATTTATTTTAACAAAAGTAACTGTAATCCAATTACCACTCACTGAAACAGTAACTGTAACTGAATACAGTTACTCATAATTTGTACTCTGATTACGTTACTCCGGTACATGTAATCTGTTACTCCCCAACACTGACTATAAAGTATGAGCCCTGCAGGATGATTTGGACCAAGTGCTACACCCCTGGGACTGGGACCCAAAACCGGGCCGTGAGCGCCCTCTTGAGGACGCACATCAGAAAGTTAGAATACATTTAATATGAAACTGGGCCCTGGGTTAGTTTTTACTGAAAAAGTCAAGGCTCGAGGTCAAAAAGGTGAAGAACCCCTGATCAAAACACAGTCATATTTTTCAAAGTGTCTTATGTAACTTTAATGGTGGAGGGTCTGTCAAATGCTTTTCTAGTGTTGGAGATGTTATTACTTTGTCTGGAATGTTTCACAGTATGGTATAAACCTTTCTATCTTCATTTATTTATTATTTATTTAGTATTTAGTGTTTTCTATATTTGTAAAAAGCGAACAGTTTAGTAATGTTAACACAAATCGTCATGGGAGCGGCTTGAAGGTGCGTTGTGTAGCTTTTCTGGGTCCTTAAATAGCTTTTCTTCACAAAGATGTTATTGCTTTTTTTCTGGAATGTTTCACAGTATGGCATTAAACCTTTCTATCTTCATTTAGACCAAGCCAGACTAAGTTACAGGTCAGATCTGCGGAGAGGCGACCCTGCTCACAGTCAGAATGTCTGTTTTTCTTGGTATTTTTGATGTTATTAGGTTCTTTTTTCAGACCAAGAGTTTGTTTTGATACCCGAGCGTTTCGACTGCTCACTGAAAGAAAAAGAACAGAATGAACCTTATAACATAAATTATCAGAAGACCAACTCAACCTCATCGGACTAGATATTTTTGAGCTATAAAACCACCTGTAATTTAAGAAACGTAAAGTAGTTTAGCTGTTTAATGTCATACTGTGGAACATTACAAGCGGAGCAATGACATCTCCATAGGGCCCCCAACCAAAAAGTTACTTAGTGCAGCTTTAAACTCGACCAACTCTTGACCAACTTGTCCAATCAGCTTTCGTTTATTTCAGTGACGCGTGTAAAACGAAGGAGCTCATTGGTCACACATCATTTCGAACAAAATCGCAATCTCAATTTGGTGCTTGTTTCATAAATTCTCCAGAAATTCCAACATGTTTTTCAGTCAAATGTGACATTTTTTTTTAGGTGTGTCAAATTATCGCGTTAATTGCGATTAATTAATTACAGTCATATTTAGCTCGTTATGGTTTTTAATCGCGTTAATCTTATTTTTAATCTCTAACTTTACTGTTTCTGTTCGCGAGTTGCCTTATTATAAAATCTGTTTTGATGTGTTGTTAAGACACAGTCCCGCACTGTGCAGTCCTGCTCCGCTCGCTCCCGCAAAGAACTGTGGCCTAATTTTCAATCCCGTTCTCGCCGCATCTGCGATAAACCTGCACACGTCTGATCTCTGAAAACATCACGACACAGACACAGAACAGACTCACCTTCACCATCATCATCCATCTGTCACAGAAAGAACATCTATATTCCACTGAGTCATGGCCTTTAGTAGAAGCTGAACCGCATCAGCACAAGAGCGTTGGTTTTTTTTTTCTTTTCTCCTCTTAGTTTATGCAAATTAAACATCCAGTTTTTAGTGAGACTTGCTCAAAGCTGCATTAAACACATTATAATGTCAAACGGGCTGATGTGGCTCTAGAGTGGTGATGTTTATATGTTGTAAAGTTGAGTTTATTTATGCAGATTAGTAATAGTAATAATGATGATACTTATATAAAAACGTTAATGATAGTATGAAAATAATGCAATAATGAATTCAAATGAAAATACCTCAAGTTGAAGGCTTTTCTCAGCAATTTTAAGGTGAAAATAAAAAAGAGATTAATTAGATTACAGATCATAATTAATTAATCCCTCAATTTTTTTAATCGCTTGACAGCACAAATTTTTTTTCTTGTATTTTTTTGCCGTAAGCAGCCGTATTTGTTTTGATACAGATGAACAGAGCGAGTCCTTGATCGGCTTATCCATAAAACACACTGAACTGAAATTAAATTTGCTTATAGATTTTAAAAGATTTGAGAAAAGCAACACTGAATCTCTGGTACAAACCTGCTCTGTGCTATATATTCACAGTTGGAGGTTCAGCGAAAGGTGCATTTTTGTCCTTAATAAACCAGTTGCGTCTTTCTAATGTAATTGTAGAATTTATTTAGATTTCTGAGTCTTTATTTTGTTTTCCAATTTCCCAAACACCTGCTCCTCTTCACATCCTCCCACTTCAGACTGTTGCATAATGTTTTACAGAGAATCAAAACAAACCGGGGCGTATTGTTTTCCGCTGCTACCATCTAGTGGCGAGAGTGGGTATAGCAAGTTGTTTTTCCTTGAGGATCACTGTAATACTTTGAAGATAAAAAAATATATTGTTCTTCAAATAATTCTTGTTTAGCTTTGTTCTGTAAAGCGTCTTTGAGTCTCCTGAAAAAGAGCGATATAAATAAAATGTAAGAAGTAAGAATTCTTTTTAGTTTGACAAGCGCTTTATAATGTTTGGTTATTGCTGTATCTGAAGTTGATTTTATTTTATTTATTTATTTATTTTTGTTGTAGTTGGAAGTCAGAGGGCTTGTTTGGTTCATATTACGGTTTTAGAAAGTTGTTTTCTCATCACAAACAGATCTAGAGTTGTGTTTTGTTTCATTCACGCACATTTAAATTAACACACAAACTTACATATTTAGGCTGAGTTCTTTTCTCAAACTGAAAACGTTCTGTTCCACCTTGTGATGTCATGAGATAATACTGGAAGCGCTTCACTGTGTTTTTAAACTCCATTAGGGCTGTGCAAAAATCTCAAAATATCAATATATCATATCGTTTAATGTGATGATGCTGTATTGATATCGTGGGCTGCTGTGTCGATATATCGCCAAGAGTATTTTTTTGGTTTA